AAAATGTTAAAAAAAAAACACTAATTAGAAATTACTGGGCCTTATTAAACACACGCTGATCTGGTTTAAAAAAGTAGCGCCTCCTACGCAGCCTGCAGATGGGACAGTTGTTGGCCTGATAGCGCAGGGTGTCTGCGCAGGAGTTGCAGAGACACAGGTGTCTGCAGGGCAGGATGAGTGTGTCTCTCAGGTCGGACAGACAGACGACGCACTCGTTGCTGTTGTCGCTGTTCTCATCGTCAGACGGCTGAGAGAAAAGAAAGGAGAAAGTGACCAAACAAAGCGGAGGTTTCTGAGCATCCTCGTTACCGCACGCAAAAATGTTACTACGGGATACCTTGGTCTCTTGGTTGTTTTTGTTCTCGATCCCGTAGATTTCCTGGAGGAGGTAGCTGACACGGTCCACCTAGACAACACCAACAGAAGGAATCTGACTGTTCTGGCTACAGAGACATCCCACAAAGGATTCGCTGCCTTAAACATCTCAATAACTGGAATAAAAATGTTCTGAGAAACAGAGTTTGGGTTTTTTTAATAATTTAAGCTAACTTTTCAATAGTATTCTAACGTATTAAAGTAAAAATAATAATGTTAAACTTACGATTTGCTTCTGCTTCAGAGGCTTGACGGAGAAACTGCCGTCAACGTGCTGCAAGACAAAAAAAAAAAAAAAAAAACTTTTAGCTCACATGAAAGCTCCGTTCACTTTTCTCATATGTTTTTTTTTTTTGGTTTTACACCTACTCTTTCAAATGCTGCCAAAAGCACATGAGCATGTCCAAGACAATCTAGAAAGATAACCAAACGAGGAGTCATTAGCAGCTAAAACGTTTGGTGTTGATAGAACAGAACAGATTAGCTTTACAAAACCTCGATGACCCACCGTCCCCTTCATCGACCACAGCTTGGATTACCATGGGAAACACTCCTCGGTCCAAATCAAAGTTCAGCTGCAAAGCGACATTTTCCACACGTTAACTGAAAGCAGTTGACACGTTAAAGAAGAAGCATCTTTATGTGAAGTGGGATCTTGTCGCAAACTCCAAACCTACATCTTCCTCTTTCCACTCGCTGAAATCGATTTTGAAGGACGGCATGGAGAACTGCTGGCTCACCCCACGCTTGTAGTGCACCGTCTCTGAGACCAAGGTTGGATCCTTTGGGCTGTACCTGTACACACAACACCGCTTCATAAAATGTCTTTTCAGAGTAAACACCCCCAGCCCATCATGTTCAACCCATGCTAAGAAAAGACAACAATGACTTCTTTTTTAATTCATGCTGTTTTCAAAGATTACGTCAGTGTGGAAATATCAAACCGAGACTTTCATTAGTAACTTCAAAAATGTCACCACACAAAAGAAAAACACGTGTCAGAAATATCTGATCTTAGGTTTCCTCAAAGACTTTAACGCAAACTGTAATTTGCATCTTTATAAAAAATCCACCTATATGAATAAATGTATAAATGCTGTTAGGTAGAATCTGACACCATCATAAATGAATAGTCAAAACATTTTTTTCAGGGTTCTTGCTGTTAGTTTTAGACAATGTTCTGTGAATTAAAAGTGACAAGATCTAATTCCTACATCGCCATCCCGTTGGAGAACTCCTCAAACGCCTGGCAGTAGAGCGTTATGGCGACCCTGGCGTCAGCATCAAAGGTAAACTCCACGCCGTACTGGACCTTGGGTTTCCCGCCATCCTCCACCAAAGTGTCCGAGTCGTCTTTGTACCTAGAAACGAGTGGTTTGACGTTCGTTAACAGAAAATCTGTGCCCTGAAACTTTCTCATGTTGGGACTCTTACCTCACTAAACGGAGAGAGTCCTTCCGTATGTTAACCAGACTCCTCAAGGTTTTCACTGGTTCATGGGGTGCAGGTGTCACATATGGAAACTAGAAATATTACCGTAAAATGAACATTCAAATAGAATCACTGACTACTGCTAAAGTCTTGTAAAGACACAATCCTGAAATCAGATTTAAACAAATGTGAGACTTTACCTGCACTGGCCTATTTCCAAGAAAATTCAGGTCCATGTTTTCCCCAAAGAGGTATCCCTCTGGATGTGGAGTATCAAATTTCTCTCCTCCCATGAAGAAATGGCTGGCGAAGTAATTCCCTGGAGCAGAAAGAGAAAAACTGATAAGTAACTAAATTACTGCCAATATGAAATGAAAGCATTGTTCTTAACAGGATATAGAGGCTCATAAATTCTGATAGTTACTGCACAGGTGGGGGTACAGTAAAAAGAGGACAATATTTAACTTTGTCGTATCTGTACACAAAACAGCTATTTAAAACGGCAGCTTATGATTTCATTCAGAAAATAAAAATGTTATACAATTTTAAGAAGTTTGTTAAATTTAACATCAAAATACTGAGTCCTCTTGGTTTTAACAGGATAATTTGCATTTGTTTAGTTATTTTAGGTCAAGTTATGGCACATATAATAATAGATGTAATCATTACAACGTGATCTGACGGCTTTATTGTAGACCAAGTGGTTTTACCGTAACACACCTCGGTCATTTATTTTCAACACGTGATATCGTGTCAGAAAACATTAACTTGTTTCCAGGATGGCACGTCCAATATAAAAAAAAAAACTGTCGTTATATATCTATATAGCTGGGAATCAACCGTGTAAAAAGACGCTACGAAACCGAGGTATCAGAAAATGTATCCAGTTTCTTTACCAAAAAGAAAAAAAGTTGTTTACTAAAGAGAAACTGCAAATCAATTACCAGATTTCGGGGGAAATCGATAGGCCGAATTTGCCTGGATATCGATGTCTTCAACACCAGCAATCCTACGACTCAGGATGGACCCCATCTTCCTCTTAGCTACAGTTAGCTGCTAGCTAACGGCACGACGGCAGCTCAGATTAGCTATGGTTCGAGCCCTGACAGGTGTCCAGACGAATAAAACATCCACCAAAAGGAAAAACTGTCGTCAATTCGGCATTTTTCACGATATGTTTTGTTGGTGACGGAATTAACAAAATGAAAAAAAAAAGCTAAGGGCGAGCTGTTGTTGTTGCTACCGACGTAACGACGTAGTAGGCACTCGAGCTGATTGGCTATATTACAGCTAGTTCAGGAAAAGAGGGCGTTCGCTTTGTTACAAGGGACCAGCCGGTGTTCTGGCTATCTGTGCTACCTCGTCAGGTTTTTCCTACCGCAGCACGGATAGACGTCTATCTGTCGGTAATAGCGTCTAAAACTTCTACCTTAATTTTTACAAACCGAAAACTATAATATTATCACTGAATAAAATTCTTTGAGTGACGAGACTGAAGTGGAAGTTTAGGAGTTATGCTTAGCATAGCACTGGAACAATTTAAATACACGACAAAACCTCAAAAATACGAAAAAACGAAAAGCTATCGCAGATGTTTGCCCAAATCCTTTTATGTGAATAGCCTACCTTTTAAAAAAATATTTTAAATACAGAGGTGTTTGTAAGAATGAAATAGTATCAGACGGGTGAAACATGTTTTTAATGAAAATAAAACACAGACATCTACAAATACAATCACTGTACACCCGAAATGATAGTGTATATTAAGCATATCCTACACCGCTGTTACACAGCTTCAATATCTCACATAATATCGCTACCAACATGCCTTATTTAGCACACAAGTAATTAATCTGTTATTTTACGGTTTTCTTTATTGTCCTGGCAGACCCGACCCAAATAGAGGAATGAAGCCTCTGACGGCTCTTAGGATCACTGGGACACTCAAACGCCTCCACCACGATAAGGCCAGAAGGTGGCGCTCTGGTGTTTCTAACTAAACAATGACTTTAGTTGGAAACGAAACCTTTTCTAACTAAAAAGTTTAGAAACTGAGCTTTTTGTTTTCTCAGTTATTTTTCTCTCCAAGGTACATCTGGTCTGGTGTCGATTAGCTGTGGTTGCTTCCTGAAAAGGGGCATTGGCTGACATGATGCTGCCATCACCTAACCGTTCTCCCTCTCCTTTTCATTTCCATGAACATGGAAAGTTCTCCTGATCAGTTGACCTGTTGTTGTGTCTCTCCTCTGTCTTCTCTCAGCTCCAGTTGGTCCTGCCACATGGCTGCTACTGAGCCCGGTTCTGGTTCTGCTGTTGGGTTGCTCCTGTTATATTAGAGGGGAGTTCTTCCTCTCCACTGTTGCTACATGCATGCCCTTTATGAGGGACTGTTGTAAAGTCAGAAACTCAACACAAGTGATTTGCTGTTGTCAATGTCGTCAATACAACATTGACGACATTGTCAATGTTGTATTGTATAAATAATTTATTTATTTAGATTTGCAATAGCTGATTTGATATTGCGGTTCCCATGGAATACCACTAGAGGGCTCTAACGCTGGCTTCACTCTGCCTAGAATCTTCTGGCAAACAGTGTCTGTCCTTGCTATTTTAATTATTTGTATTAAAGCTTATGTTTTACGTATTAGATTTATAATAGAAAGGAAATGATAATAATAAATGTCAGATAATAAACGTCAAAGTTTTGTAAAAATTGGAATTCTAAACAACATATATTTTTTAGACAATTCTTTGACATTTTACATTTCTCAATTTTATGATGGTTAGCAGTCCATTATGAAATATACAAATATAAAAGGGACATCTGCACCAAATATTGCATATAAAACATTTATCTAATTGGATTTTATAGATACAATTATAATTTTTTTCTTAATATTTCAGGAAGAGCATATTTTTTCTTGATTCTTTTGAGTAAATTGTTAATGTTAAGTATTTCACGATATAATTCAACCTTTTAAACTGTGATGCTTTAGATTAAATTCGTCATTTTATTAAACATTGTTTAATTGCTTCATTTTAGAACAAATAAACTTTTTTCACTACTGTGTTTTCTTTTTTCTAGACCACAGTAAAAACAAACACCCGCACTTTGCAAAGGCTTTCAAGGGTGCAAGGAAAATACCTTATTTGCCTTTTTGACAGGGCATCAAAACACACCAAAACACCGATGTACATCATGATTAATGACGTCAGTGTAAATCCGTCTCAACGGATGTCGAAGCAGCTAACGTCAAACAACTTCAGCTACAACACGGTTCGGTGCTGTTCTTCCTAGAATAAGGTAATGACCTTTCCAACTTGTTCCTATCTCCTTGTATGCAGCGAACGAAGAAAACAATTCTCTCTACTTGTTTTCCAAGTCAGTTTTGATTCTCACATCTTCGGCGTTTAGTTTCTATATCTAGAATGGCGACGCTAGCTAGCCTTGTAGCTAACGACAGCTAGCTTTCAACGATTGGGTTCACAGTTAAAACGCAGCGACGTCTTGAAGTTGCTTTAGCGGCTGACCACTGACACACCCCGTCAGTCCTTTCACATTCGTATGAAGGAACCTGAAATAAACATGTTTTTAACCAGACGTTTAGCCTCTGAAAGCGATGTTCTTGTTAGCTAGCATGTATGTTAACCGACAAAGATGTAACCAATTTGTTTTGACTAAATTATCCACCTTAATGTTAAATCAGTGCGGACTTCCGCTTTTATATATTATGTAACTAGTTATTCGTGGTGTTGCAAGTAGCTTTGACCAGGATTATCTCCGAACAGCCTACATTTTGATTTAACGATACTATTTAGTTTCTTGAAACTAATAAAGGTATTTCAATTATACAAACATTTATTTTTAATAATATGCGCATAATAATAATAATAATAATAATAATAATAATGATAATAAATAATTATTAATAATGGTGTAAACATACCGAAATAAACAAACAACTTTTGTCAAAGTGGATTATTTTTATACGGATTCTGATGTTTGAGGACAGTTCAACAGCTGTGTTGTTCTCCAACCTTAAGTGTATGAACAGTAGCATATAATCCTTCTGTAACTGTTACTTTATAGTGAGAAATTTGCACTCATGTTAAATATTTGGTTTAACAGTTGTCAGTTGGCATTAATTTATCCACAATATTTATTTTATTTTACATGTAAAAGGCACACAGAACTAACCAATGACTTGTGACGGAGTTTCTTCCACACATGTGCTGCTGCAAATTGTGACAGGCCTACACTTAACCCCTGGATATATTATTTAGCTTGAGAGAGACGAGTACTTTCTGGTGAAACTTGAGATAAAAGATTTCATGTTTTATTCTTCAGCGGTAAACGCGACCCACGCAGCTTTGATCACCGTCAACGTAGCCGAGCCATCTGTGAGCCCAGATCTCTGGCCAGTATGTCCAGTGACCCTCCCCCTCCGTACCCTGGAGGTCCCAGTGCCCCCCTCATTGAGGAAAAGAATGGACAACCTGGTAATGAAGGGAAAGTTGCAAGAGTGTGCTGAATGTTGATGAGCACTGTAGTTTAGTTCTCTGCGTGAAATAATAAGTTCTAGCGAGTGATCCTTTACTTTGCTCTGTTTTGGATATACACAAAGAATGTTTAAACACTGGTTGTTGTAAGGGTTTGGTAATAATTTTCAATTCTCTGTAATATGAAATGTCTTTGAATACTTCTCTGATCTCTACTCTGTGATGTATCCACTTGACTTTTGTTGATCAGATCATTTTATTTTGTGTATATTTTAGAAACAGTAAGAACTACTCAGCCACAAGGACAGCCCCTACTTCCCGATTATGGCCCTCCCCCCTATGAAGGTCCACAGCCAGGCTTCCTACCGCCACATGTTCCAGGAGAAGGGCCCATGCCCATGCCTATGCCTCCACCAATGCAAGGTGCCACATTTTGACCTGAAATATCAATAAACTTCTTGTTTCTGTGTTTATGCTTCTTTTAATCATTCAGTCTAGCACCAGACTCCCCTGGAAATTCTGACTTCACATATTTAGTGTCTCTGGAGTATGTCAGAATCCAGTCATGTTTAGGTGTGACTTCAGTTTCATTTTACTGGCAGAATCAGTTGTGTAACCACAGCATTTCACACGACTCATAAATTCATCATATTCCTACTTTAAGTTAATTTTTGTTTGTTTGTTTGTTTGTTTGTTTGTTTGTTTTGTTTTTGTGTTCTCCATGATCCTTCCAATCAGTTTTTTTATGTTAATACTTTTATTCCTGAATGCAATCTTTGCAGGTATGGCCTACCCACCACCTCCAGGTCACTTTGCTCATCCAATGCCTCCACCAATGCAAGGTGCAGCAGCCTTTCCGCTAATATCAGTAAATACTGATCATCATACCGTCCTTGTGTGTATTTGGGTGAAAAACTGTCAGTGGAGGTGTTTACGCTTTTTTTTTTTGGCTCAGCCTTTAAAAAACATCAGTGGTTATCCATTTTGCCTTTTATTTTTATTTTGAACCTCTGTAAAGTTTCTTTGTGTATCCATATTTTTCTGTTGGTGTCGTCACTGGCCTCAGATTTATTTTATTCACACAATAATATGTAACCACATCACCCAAAAGCATCATCAAATTCTTTCCCTGAATATAATTTCCGTTTCCTCTACAAGGTTAGACCAGTCCATACTTAAGTTTTTTTTTTTTTTTCTTTTAACGCTTTAATTGATTCTTTTTCTGCAGGTGGGCCATACCCACCACCACCAGGTCACTTTGGTCAGCCAGTTCCGGGACAGATGGGTCCGGGCCCCGGTCACTTTGTCCACGTGGGAAGTCACACGGCGACCGTCCTGGCTCCTCCGGGTGCAGCCACCACTGTGACGGTACTGCAGGGTGAAATGTTCCAGACGTCGCCGGTGCAGACTGTGTGTCCGCACTGTCAGCAGGCCATCATCACCCGCATCTCTCATGATGTCGGGCTCATGAACACACTCTTCTGCCTCTTCTGTTTCTTTGTAGGGTAAGTTCAAAGTGTTAACTAGTGGATGAAAGAGTTATGACATTGATAACCTGTTTCAGCCACAGTTTAAAAGTAAAGTTTAATCTTAAGTAGTAATTTTAGCTCAAACTGTTATGAGAAATGTGAACATATTTACAGTGGGGGAGGGAGAATGAAAGCAGTGGGTTTAAAGAGTATCACACAAAATATTTAGTTTGCAAACGTCTCATCTGTTGCGCAGATGTGGAGCGTATTTCCGCAATCTTCCATTTGGCTCCTTGCAGTTACATCAGAAGCTCTTTTACTACTCTTTTCTTGGAATCTCTAAAAATGTGGAGACCAGTGCTGATTCTTTTCATGTTTTTACTGAACTGAAATATCCTCTTCATCGTTTCAGTCACGAATGGGGATCCTGATTAAACTTGTCTGCAGGTGTTTGATTGTTATATTCTTTTCTTCTCCTTTGCTCCCAGGTGTGACCTTGGCTGCTGCTTGATTCCCTGCCTGATTGATGACCTCAAGGATGTGACACACACCTGTCCTAACTGTAAGGGCTACATCTACACATACAAGCGCATCTGCTAACCACCGACAGTGTTTCGCCACAGAGCCATGTATGTGCACACACTCAAAACTCTCAGCTCCCCCTGCTGGTAATGACAGCAGCCTCCACCCTTCGCCCCATTTTTGCATAGTGTTGTCCCCTTCTTATAGTAAATAAAGTTGTCTCATAAACCCACAGGATAATTGCTGTATATACCTTCCACATTCTTCTAAAATGTTTAAACAAGGATTTAAAATGTACAAAACCTCTGAACTGACAAAGGGCGTTAAAAGAACCATGAAATAAAAGGCTGCAGTCGCACACAGACTGCTGTAAGCCTACAGACATTTTTTTATCTTATGCATGGAGAAGAAAAAAAAATTGAGTTAGCCTCATTTAGCAAAAGCTGTGAAATTGCTTATTTCGTTTGAATTCTTATGTTAATGCTACCCAGTCTGAGTTGGTGTTTTTTTTTTTTTTGGTCTCATCTTAAAATATTTCCCAACATTTATGTTAACTAACCCAATTTTGTCTGTATATCATATTTTCCTCATGTATATTTGTCTTGTTTCCACTGATTTAACGAGACCCAATTATAAATTTAAACGGATATTTATATTACATGCTATATTTATTTTTGTTTAGTCACTCAATGTTCAGTGACTTGCTGCTTTTCTGTTACCAGCTCTCTGTCCATTTTGTGTCTCGTTTTAATAAACTTAACATTTGCACTTTATTTTAAACTCCACTGCTAACCCTTTTGTTGTGAAAATGTAATGAAAAATATTATTGGGCTTTTAACTGAGTGAATCTGACTGTATGTGCACTAATTGAAAACATATTGAAGGTGGCAGATGTGTTTTTGTCACTGATTTAAAAAAACAAACTGCATGACATCTTAGTAAATGACTTCATGTTGGCAGGATGCACTTCTACAGATTGTAGATTCAATATAACCCAAAATAGAACATTGTAAGAAAAAATTTGAGCAAATTCAACAATGGCTCATGTTCTTTAAGACTAGGTGCATTGCTCAGATGCATGTTAGATGACATACTTTTAAGCTTCGATTAAGATTAAAAATATTGCAAATCAACTTCCACTGAATTGTCTGCTGCCAGTAAATGATCAGTGTACCATCACTGCATGCCCAATCCTTTGTTCACTAATGCCTATCAAGAGTTCATCTGCTTGATTTTTACTTTAAAAAAGTTATTCTCCTGATTAGCTCCCTGACTAAATGTGCAACTGACTTTTTTTTTGACTGACAAATCAGTGTAAAACCTTTGAGCTGAAAGATTGCAACAAAATGTTCTTATTGTGAAAACTGCATTGCTATAATGTCTGTGATAATGTACAACAATGTAAGACAGTTTACTTAACTGTTGTACACAGGTAATATTTTATCAATAAAAGTCATAAAGAAATCTCTTATCTTGAAGATACATGATGTCTGACAAGTGACTGTTGCATAAATTACATTTATTTTTGGGGAAAGGTAATTTTTCGAAAGACAAAGCGGAATCTGAAAATAATTTGAACTTTCTGCAATACACAGCTGTCAATCTCTCCATCTATGTCCACACTGTGCATTGCAGCATTTGTAGAAAGTCGTCATCGGCTCGTCTGCTGATCTGGTCTGGATCTGCATGAAATAAGCCCGGGGATGCTCACACTTTGGACACGTTTCTGCGCAGAAACACAGATGCAAATTATCAGCCTAGAATAAAACTTTAATCACATTTTCCCTAATTTCCACACTTTAGTCAGTGTGGCTGATACTCTAAAATACACAACATAAGAGAAAAGCATATGTTTTGATTATAGAACCATTTAAATGAAATTTAAACATTCCCCCCAAAAATGCTCCATACTATATCTTTAATGCAAAGCACCAGTTTCATATTTATAGAAAAGATAACTAATTTTTGTTGTGAACATATAAGGCCTGCATTTGGATACTCAACTGAGAACCAAGGAGACACATGGTTGAGTGTTGCAAATAAAATCAAAGTTAAAAACTCTCACTCAATCCTCATTCACCCAGCTACCGACAGAGCTGAATGATGATCACCAGGGCAACTGGCTCTTGTGTGCTGCTGACTTAATGCAGTTTGTAATTGGGGGGAGAAAATATCAGATTCAATATTTTGTATGATGATTTTATCATCAAACTGTGAAAGACATTGCAGTTTTGTGTCATAGTAGTTAAATGTGTACAGCCATTGTAAACAATGTACAGAAACAAGCACACTGTTGACATTAGTCATAACTTTGCATAAATTTTGGTTCTGTCAAGTTGTGATTCTAGCATTAAAGTAAGAATTTAATGCTTGACTTTCACTGGGTGTAAAAGCAGATCAGCACTGAAGGAACATCTCTTCAGTGAACAAGTGTGAGTCAAAGCAGGTCTGTAAACATGATGGGTGTGAAACACCTAGAACTGTCTAAACGCCATCTTGTCTACTAGTTACAGTGTTTCCCCAACCCTGTTCCTCAAGGTGTCCACCGCTCTGAATGTTTTAGGTGTTTTTACGTGTCATCGCATCTGATTAACGGGCGTTTCCTGTACTGCAGTCATGTAAATGAGGTGTGTTAAAGCAGAGGAACATCTAAAACATGCAGGCAGTGTACCTTAAGGATCCGAGTATTTGTTGTTTTGGTAAAATGGCTCTCATTCATTCTGATCATTTCACATGAAACAAGCAGCTGACCGAATGTAAAATGACAAAATAATTTTCACACAATGCAATACAACGATCTAACACTGATTTGATGTGGTTTATAGTAATCAAAGAGTACATTTTAGCTAAAAAAAAATCTTAAGTTGCGTTGTTGTCACCTTGTATTTCAAGTATGAAATATAGGCTTCACATTATGCTAACGTCTCAAGGCGATAAAATAATGCACTATAGTCCGTGGCGTTTTTATATTTATATATATTTGAACGCAATTTTAGTTTCGACATGCAGAACAGACTTGTTTGAGACAATGAGAGGGATTAGTCACCTGCAGTTGAATCCACGTTCTCCCACGCTGCAGCGCCACCAAGGACATCATCCACCTCTTTTAGCTTGGGATACTTTCTGTTATTTACCTGCGAAGGTACAAAAGGGGGCATTTAACTCGTAGAATATCGTAAAACGAGAAGAAACAGCAACACCAATTCCCACACAACGCGGGTTAAAACGTTTTATGTTACCTTCCTGGTGATGTTGTGTACATATGGACAAGTGTTACAAGCGAATCTCAAACATCTTTGTCCTTCTTCAACGATTAAAACATTCCCACAGGTGGGGCAAAACAGTAGCATGCTGACAAGACACAAAATGAGTCAATTTAAAGAGAAATTAAGTAGTTTAGACCATTTGGAGCAACCCGTCTGCTGCGTTTCATAGCGGAAGTGCAACAAATAAAACTAGTCGATAGGAAACACGAGGAAGAAAGCGATGTCTTGTTTTAAAAACAAAACAAAACAAAAAACAACTACACTGAAACTGTATAATCCTTTTTGACCTACAGTAACTTTTAGGGAGTTGAATATAGCAAAATCAAATTTTATTTAGTTTATATGCTTTATATTTATTGAGTGGAACTTTGTGTGATGAGCCTCATGATCCCACCGGATATATATTTTGCGCGTTCCACATATAGAGAAGATAACTCGCTCTTGTGAGATAATATTTAATTTATTGTTTTCCTTTATGTTCAGTTAAAATCAGGCTTGCGCATGTTTGCTGTCTTGTTTTAGTAGCTTTTAATGGAGGTGGAGGAGAGTCTAAGCGCTGGAGGTGAGAGGGGGATTGTTCTTCAGGATGAGGAGGTGAAAAAGGAGAAAGACGAGGAACCAACTGCTGAGACAGAGGAGGAAGATGAAGATGCTCTCCCGCATTCAGAGATCCTGGATATCTTCGAGGAGGGCCTGGCTCGACTTGTGCAGGACCCTTTACTCTGTGATTTGCCAATACAGGTTGGCAGTAATTGATTTATTTTTTTTTATTTGTTGTAGTTGTTTGTTTTAGTTTTAACTTCTGTAAACTAAGCCGTTCCGAGAGGATGGCTTCTTATGTAAGCCTTTCCAAATCAGTCTTACCTGTCATGTATTTTTCTAGTTGTACTGACTCAAACATGAACAATTCACATGCAAAACGAGCTCCTTTGGACTCCCCATGTTATTCAAATTTGCATCTCATATAGATTACATTCATTACTTAAAATGATGCTTATGTAAGAGTCAGATTGCCTTTCAAAGGATTCGAGAGGCACTTGCGTTTCATTAACACTTCAAGACTTGTCCAATTTTTTAGCTGAACAGCGCTGTGTAAAAACACGCCCCCTAACTTCTTTATTAATAGAATTATAAACTGAAATATTCTTAAAGGTTTATTTTTTGACAATGTAAAATGAGTCTCATTTTACATATTACTTGTATATAATTTCCTACTTTTAGTTTAGATATTGTTGCACACAATGACATTCTGACATGGAGCTGCTTGGCAACAGTACCCTATTGGGTGTTGTTTCCCTAATTTTGTCCAAAAATGAAGAAGACAAGTTGATTCTCACAGTTGAAGAACAACCAATTGAACATTTTCTTAGACCTAAAAGCATATCTTTAAACCCTTAGGTCAGAAACGGCTCCTTAATTTTTGGTTTTAAATGCTCATCAAAGAAACTGTCTCTACTTTTTAGGTGACCCTGGAAGAGGTGAATTCCCAGATTGCCTTGGAATATGGCCAGGCGATGACTGTGAAGGTTTTAAAAGCGGATGGTGAAATAATGCGTCAGTGTTTGTTTAATTTTTGGTGATCTGCGTTTTGCTTTTCACTTCACTTCTTCTGCTTTTGTTGTTACTGCATATAAGTGACAATAATTTGTCTGTCTGGTTGAAAACAGCCATTGTGGTTGTCCAGAATGCTACAGTCCTCGATCTGAAGAAGGCCATTTGCAGATTTATGGAGTTGAAACAGCAGCGAGAAGGAGGCGTGAAACATATAAGCTGGTAGGAGCATTCACAAACGCAAGAAAACAAATTAAGATCTGTTCATAACGCTACAGCTGTTCCTCTTTTATTTCTCAGGAGATATGTTTGGAGAACCTACCATCTTGTATTTCAAGGCGAGAAACTTGAAGATGACACAATGAGGCTCAAAGAGTGAGTGTTTATACTTTCACCTTAGTGAAATGCATCTAAATCTTAACATCAAAACCATCTGAATATTTTTTTTTCCTCTGCTTTGGAAATGTTTATCTTTAGTTATGGGATCAGGAACAGAGATGAAGTGACGTTTATGAAGAGACTCAGGAAGAAGTGATGCAGCATGTTTGGAGAATAAACACAATTTCCTGCAGTGTCCCAATTTCTTTAAAATAATTAAAATCTTGTTTTAATCCTTTTTTTTATTATATTAATGTTTCTTTGTCTTGTATCTGTTGGTTTTAAAATGTGCCTCTGTTGTAATGTACATGTAATTACAATAAATAAGATTTATGTGGAAGTGCTTTGTGAATATTAAAATGTTTCAGTATTTTTACTTTGTCTGTGCCTACATATCTGTGTCCTGTGTTTCTATCTGAGCCAGACTGCAGCAGCTTTCAAAAATGAGAGTAATAAACGCCGCCCTAATGATTTGAATATTTCCTGAAAGTTGGGAACAATATTCTCTTGTTCAGCTTATATGGATTTTACCTGCGAACGACGTAGCAGAGGCAGCAAAAGCAAGGTAATATCAGAGTTTTTCCACAGTTTTATTTATTAATTTGTAATATGTGACATTTAAAGTGGTGGAACGGGTTTTGTCACAATTTTGCTTTTTGTGTATTGTGACAAAACGCAAGCAGATAGACGTTTTCAGTTTTGAGGATACTGTTTATTTTTATGTGCCCAGCTAATTTAAGTATAATCTTCTTGATATGATTTTACTGTTGGTGGTTTTTGCTGATTTGGTGAAAAACTTTGCTGTTGTTGGAGACAACAAAACAGACCCCATACGGATTTTGGGCAGGTGTCGGTTTTTCATGTGAAAACTTGTTCTAGGATAATTCAGATGGAATAAAAGCGAAGCAATTTGTTCTCTGCATTACAGCAAGCCTGTCTAAGCTTTGAGGGGTGAAAAAAGAAACCATAACAGAGTTATCCATTCATCATGCACATTTTATGACGTCAGTTGTATTTTGAGACCTAATGATGAAGCTAAAGTGCTTTAAAATGGTTTTGCACTTTTACAGATTTCTTGTTGTTGCTCTAATGTCACAATTGACTGTTTATGACAATTAAATTTTGCTAACCTGGATAAGGACAAAAAAAAAAGTTTAAAATGGTGGTTGCACTAATTAAGGGGAACAAAGCTGTTTGAATCAACCAGGACCTATGTGGAAAATGTAACTGTCCAACTTTAGATTGTGAATTATTTGGAAAGCTGAGTTTCATAATGAGCCTCTTCCAGTCCTGATTACCACTAGGCTTGTAAATGAAGTAGGATAAAGGATCTCAAAATCAATGCATCCCATCCCAACCTAGTCTATCAACTAGTAAATGTTACAAAACTATTTCTACAAATAGAGAAAACATGTAGCTCTGATGATTCTTCCCAGAAGTGGCTTGGCTATTAATATTACTTGAAAACTACACCAAGCTTGAATTTGAATATTTAATAACCAAATAAACCAGGAAGTCTACATCTAAATGGCTGGAAGAAAGATTTTTAAGTGGCCCAATCAAAGCCTGCAACCACATCTGATTAAAGTCCTGTGGCCTATTTCACCTGAAGACCTTCCAGCTTGGCTCAATTAACAAACAAATCTACAAATAAGGGTGGGACAAAAGTCCTGTTGCAAAACAGTCTTATTGCAAATGTTTGATCGCAGTTGTTGCTGCCAAATGTGGCACTAGCAGGTAGGGCTGAGGGATAATACTGATTTTATTGATTAACCAAATTTTCCGTTTATAAAGATTACTTTTTTTTTTGAAAATTTAGATTTTTCTTTTCTTCACCTATGCACTCTTTGGATTTCTGTAGTTCAGGATGGTGTCAGTCTTCCCATGGCCTGCTATGTTTTTTCACAGCTCATATTTAGTTGAATTCAGGTAAACTCCCAGAAGGGTTGATTGAAATTAAATTTTTGGAATTTCAATTAATTATTATGATTTCTTTTTGAGAAAATAAAGTGAGAAAACAATCAACTAAAATTGAAAATTAGATTGCTTTGAAAAAAAAAAAAAAGTAAGATTCTATTGTAATCCATATTACCCAGTTGTTGGTGTTAGGAAGCTTTCACTTACTCATGTAGGAACAGGTTAGTTTGGATAGCTTTATTCTATTTGGATAGATTTATTCATATATTTTACTTGCAATACAAAGAAAGCCGAAATGATAGTAAAATCTTTGTGCAAACCTATGGGATTGCTCTGCAAACTTTTCAGCTGCCGCCATGACCTCTTCTCAAAATGAGGTCGAGACGATATCAGGAAAGCTGAAAGACATTTCTCTGAAGGAGGAACAGCTTGAAGACAGAAAGAAAATCTTGTTGGTATTCCAGGAGCTAAGGAATCGGGCTGAATTTGGAGAAACAGGTGACATTAATGGATTCCCAGCAAGTAAATCATAAAACGTCATTGATGTTATGCAATCTGTGTATATTTATTCATTTATTTCCCCCCCTCCCTCCCCCCTCTATCAGAAGAGTCAGCTGCTACCCAACAAGAGATCAATTCTATTGACAATAAATTGAAAGAACTCAGGATAAAGAAGGCCGAACTGCAAAAGAACTGTGACAATATCTTACATGCAAAAGATGTGAAATTCAAAAACGGTGAGCACAAATAACTTCTTTTGACCGACGGTGAATTCTTCATGCTTGTCAGGCTTGTCACCGAAGCTCTTTTTTTTTTCTCCAGATATTAAGCGCGAGTCCAACCAGCAGCTTGACGATAAAATCTTCTTCGTTGAACCTCCTCCTTCTTTTCCCGGTGAGCCACCAAGCCACACAAACCTGCACTGCAAAACGAGGCAATGTGCACAAAAATTAAAAGTGCAGAATGGATTTTTAGAGGCCAGACTACAATTTTACTATGAATTTAGTTCTTGTAAAGAGTAAAGGAAAGAGATTTAATTGTGTACACATCCTTCTTTTCAGCCCCTGCCGTGATTCTGGATATTAAAAGTCTTCCTACACATCCAACTAGGACACAGTGCCCAGAGTGCATGCAGTTTGTCACCACGGAGACTTTCACTTCCGTCAGCAGCGTGACCTGGCTTGTTTGCATTATGTCAGCTATGGTGGGGTATGAACTCTCATTTGGTTTGGCGGTAAAATATTTGCCTAAGGACACAGTTACGCCTTGTTGTACCCGTTTCTGTTTGCTCAGCCACTTCCAGGTTTGTTGTGATCAAGCTGGTTTCGTTTCTGCTCTCCCACTTTGCAGCTGCGTGGCCGGTTGCTGCCTCATTCCCTTCTGCATGGACAGGTTCAAGACCACCACGCACAGATGTCCAAAGTGTCGGTCGAAAATCACAACCATCAAAAAGCTCTGAGAGGAGAAGCAACCGGTGAGCAACTGAAGCACATGCCGAGAAAACGCTGGACCGGCAGCTGCTGGCGATTTAGTAACTGCTGAACAATCAAACTCTGCTGAAGAGTTTGTTCAGCAGCATCGTCCTCCATTATGCGGGGCATGCTGAGAAAAAATCCACGTCTAAGGGTTTATGTTTGTGAACTTACAAAATGAAATCTTGCCTGAATGGATTTAATGAAGCACATCTCAATAGGTATAGCTGGGTATATTGCATGTAAATATGTATTATAATAGATCTATAAAATGTATGAAATTTACCATTTCAATTTTAAACTACCTGAGAATTTCTACTAATCTTAAAGTAGTTCTTTAAGCAGTCTGTGATGCTATGGGCATTTTATCACCTCTTCAGAAGGATTCGAATCTTGTCTTTGAAAGATCAGAATATTTTAGATAGAAATCTGGTAGACTCTGGCAGGAAACTGAAAATGGGCCAAAAGATGAACGAACCCAGGACTCTGAATGACGAGAGAGACTTTGCAACAGAAAATAATCTGGAATCTTTTTTTTTTTTTCTGCATTCTCTAACCTCGTGAAACGCTACAGGAGAAGATGCAGTGGTGGGTTACACAAAGTCCTGACAGCAGTACAAAACAAGTGTGGATATGGGAACGTTTCATTCGCTGAACAAATGTACTCAGATTAGTTTGTTTTTTTTCCTAGAATTAAAAACTATAAATTCTCATGTAAGAAATGAAATATATTTTAAAGCTTTTCATACATCTTTGCCGGGTGCGACATTAAATGTGTCTGGCAATGGATATGCATGTAGAGAGCTGTTCAATAAAGAAACATAAGAACCGATTTACCTTAAGCAAACTATTTAATTACTGAAACCTTTAAAGTTTGGTGGGGGTTTTTTTTGGCTCAAAGGCTGAAAATCCCAAGGCATTCTTGTATTTACAAAAAAAAAAAAAGGAAACAATTTTTTTTTTTTTTAATAAAAAGAAACAACATAAATACACCATACAACAAACAAAATGATTGCAATGTTTTTGGTGTTGAGTTGCATCGGTCTTGTGAAATCTTATTCCTCATTCCGGCAGGTAGCCCCCCCTCTTTCTCTTGAAGGTGACAGATTTGGCACCAAGTAGCCGACTTAAAAACAAAGAAATATCGTGAGATTTTCTTCTGCACCAAAGGGCTCTTTGTCAGAGACATTCCAGATATCTTCCACAGAAGTCAGAGAGTCGATACACAGCAAATTAAAATACCACAGAAACGAATGTCTAACATTTCCTCATCCAACACATCCACACATACCAAATGCTGCCTATAATAGCACACACTGTTGCCAGCAGATGTTACTGGAATCCACTCCTACTTTAATGGAAGAAGCCTGCCTCATTATTCTGATAATGACATGCCGCTGAATTTTTTTTATTTTTATAATAAAACTAAATAACATAAAACTAGCCAGCTGATTAAAAGTCAGTCTGACCAATTTTAAACCAGCAAATTATGTTAAATGCTGTCCGGCAGATGATTTGTGTGAGACTGCTTCTTTAAATTGCAGAGCGTATTCGTGTGTGTCGACTTACAGGGTCGGCGAAGAGATGTTTGCAGAGTATTTAGTAATAAACACTTGAGTTGATGTTGTTCTGGGTTTCTGGCTCTCTGCAAGCCGATCAAACTTTCACTACTTTGGTTAAATATCAGATTTATGCCTCTCGACTTGCATAGAAACCATGATCATGCGGCTTATGTGTTTACAATCTGTTTTGATAGTGATAATCATTCCAAGACAGGGTGGAGTAAACAACACGGCGGCTAAATGCAGTGCTTGTCCATCTGCAACCAGGCTTTGTGTATTTTTCCTTTACTCCTATGTGCGCTGAGACAATTCTTACTGCAGCATTCTTTACTGAGGCTGCAGAACAAAGAGAAGTTGTGAAACATATAGAAAAGTCAGCTGCGTGACTTGAGATGGAAATCTTTAAAGCGTCGGTACCCTTTTCATCCCCCCCCCCCCCCACAAAAAAAGTTATAGCTTTTAAAGTTCATTAACTTTTGTATTAAAAAGGATGAAGTCCACATACTGCCTTTAAAAATCACTCAATCCCAGTTCAAGTTCAGTTCATGAGAGTCCAGGAAGTCGGGCACCGACATGTCCAAAGGGTTAATCCCCTCCGAAGGCACAGAAAGGGTGAGATCGAGCCAATCCATGCTGTCCACAGAAGTGCTTTGCAGGTTCACGCCAGTAGGTGGCAGGCTTTCACTGAAGTTCATCTCCATCTCAACCAAAGGTGAGCTCAACTCCTCCATCAGCTTCAGTCTTTGAGCCTCCGTGTCCCCCAGAAGGGCTTCCAGGTTGTTTCCCGTCGAGCCGAGCGGCGCTCCAGGCAGCTGGGCCACCTGCACCAAAGGTGGAGGACGGGTCAGAACCGTGTTGATGGGAAGGGTGGTAACGCTAGCTGTCACAGGGAGAGGCTTTTCCAGGCTGGGAGGATCCCGTCTGATGAGAGGGGAGATCTCTGAAAAAACAAGAGAACGACACCGGTGAGAGGAAATCCTCGCTTATCTTCCAAGCTGAACTCGTCCAAAATGTAGCTAAAAGCGTCGCTCACCTCCACTTTCAATCAACACATCGAACAGGTCGTCCATCTCCTGGCTCGCTGCAGTGGGACCCTTTAAAGAAATACAGTTATTTAATATAGGAATGATTTTTTAATAACAGTTTTAAGCGATGAACTTGCATTTGATTCGCACCTGAGCAGCTGTTAATATGCTGCGTGTCTGTTTTACTGCATCCTCATAGCGAGGTGGGTCTTTAGTCTTTGATGCCTGGTTTGAGAAGGTTGTTTGCTGCATAAAAAGACAGCAGATAAGAAAGCAGCTATTTAACAGGAACAGTAGATAAAATAAGTCACAAACAACTATTGAACTAGACTGTGATGCAAAAAGGAACCCGGGTATGTCTTTCCTTCTGCACCATTGAAGGAAAAGCACAATTACATACCATCATTTGGGTTAAATTAATCTAAATCTGAACTTTTAAGCAAAAGATTTCACCAGACGAAGTATTTTATTTTTATTTTTTCTAAATCTCTTAAAAACAATGACAATACAGAAACAGGTTTGGAGAATTATAATCTGCTAATCAGATATTCCTACCCATAGCAGTCAGCAAAATGTTGAATATCAAAACCCCACATTAAGTGCTAGTAAAGTTATACGAGTAAATCCATAAACACCTGTAAAACAATAACTTGCAGTAGGAAACACCACAAAGACTCAGGGAATATATTTCACCTTTCCTATGAGTGCTTCTGGGGGAGCTTGCTGAGAGGGAGGACGATCGCATCCAGACACCAGGAACGCACCGAGTACGTTTTGCCCCTCGCCATCCAATCCCCACGTCTGCAGAAAACATTAGACAGCCTAGCATTAATGTACCGATATGAACAGAGTCTGAAAAGTGAATTTTGAACAAGTTACTATTGTCTATGTGGCAGAAACAGACAATAGTAACCTTTAGCTTAGGTGAAAAAAAGCTTAAAAAAAAAAAGATTTGGACTATCTTTCTAGAACTTTTTTCACCTAAAACATTTTTTCATTTTACTTGTGAAACTGCTGAGTTCAATCTACACCGACATGATGGTCTCATATTTTCCAAATGATTCGATTCTCGTAGCCAAAATGATTACAGTGCTCTGTTGAAGCTGATTGCAGCTGTAAGCACGGGGAAACTGCATTTTTCCACTGCAGCACACAAATGACTGGTAACTTGACCTGCGGTTTAATTGGCAGCACAACTGAAAACATGCCTCTATATTTATGCAGCCCAACGTGTGAATTGTTGGCACCAGCTGGAACATGTCTCAAAACCACAACGCACTGCAGAGTGTGATGACAAAGACTAAGAAGACCAAGGAAGAACGAACAAGACAGACTGAACCCGGCAGAGTGCTCGCACATTTACCTTTGCCAGATGCGGGGTTTGAGTGAGGCATTGCTGTTGCAGTTCTGCCGGTGTCTGTGGCTCATGTCCAGAGGCCGGGATGCGGCCTGGAGCTGTGCTCTTAACAGTGGTGTGTAATTTAACGCCGTTGGCAGGGAGCTCGACGGCGACTGCTGAGCCAGGAGAGGATGTGGGCAGGAGGACCTGGGCAGGCTGCGGGTTTTCACCGTTTGTGTTGGTCCGCTGACCGATGGCAAACTGATTCGGGCTGGTTACGTGATCTGAAGGCTCCTCCTGTTTGATCTGCACATGCTGACCAGGTGAGCTGCAGGACAAAGAGCAGTTTGACAGATTCCCGTTTTCCTCTTTTATCTGGATCGGCAGCAGCGAGTTAGGATGAGGCGGAGAGTCACTCTGCTGGCTTCTTTTCTCCACCTCCAGCTGCATCTTTAGCTCCTCGACGAGCTTCTGCTCCTGCTCCAGCTTCCTCATTAGCTCCTCTATCTGACGCTCCTTCTCGTGCAGCCGCTTGTCTTTTTCAGAGTCCTTCTCGGTGAACGTTGCGTCTGCGGGGCCCTCTTCATACGGAGGTCCATTTAAGGGGCTTGTGCAAAGGGCAGCATTAGACAAACTCTCTGAAACTGACTTTGCATGAATGTCTTTCATATTACTATCTTCAATTCCCAATTTGGAAACTTTGGAAGCTATGAGGGAAACAGGCGGTGTCAAATGAACGTTTTCAGCCTGCGAGTTGGCTGCAGAAGCTCCTGACTCCATGGCAGCAACACGCTGACTCTTCGTGCTCTCGTGATGCAGCTTCAGTCTCTCTATTAGATCCGTCTTGGTCCCGGAAACAGGCAGCGATCTGAGTTTCAGCTCCATCTTCAGCTCGGCAACCTGCAAATTAAGAAAACGGTTCGTCTTTTAGATCCTGAATGCTTTCTGTGGCGTGTATGACAGAGCCCAGGCAGCGTCACCTTCATCTCATCGATATTAGCTGGCAGCTGATCCGATTTCGTGCCGGTGTGGTGGAACTGCACAGGAGTCGACGGCGAGCTTCCTCTGAGCACGAGAGCCGAGCAGCTGGTCTGCATCTCAGCCGTGGATATGCTGCAACGAAAATGGGAAACAAAGGGAGTGGGAAGGAAGGAGAGAAGGCATTTTTCAGTTGTCTCTCTGTGGGAAAACGGCACGCAGAATGCGACGAGACAAAGATCGGCTGCGGTCAAGTGTGACAGACGACTTTTGTGTAAAGAATGAACTGCTGAGCGGTGCCATACTTCAGCGTGACAGGTACAACGGCCTGGCAGTTGTACTTCTGCTGCTGCTGGGTTAGGATCTGGAGCTGGAGGAACTGCTGCTGCTGCTGCAGGAGACGGGCGTAAGAGGAGTCCATCGGCACGTCGCTGACCTCCTGCTTCTGGTCAGGGGGGATGTACTGATGATATTTGAGTTTTTTCACCCGCGGCTTGGGCTCTTTGTTCTTTTTGCTGCGGCTTTTGTCCGTGGCTAGCTTCGCCAAAGTTTGCTGCAGAGTGTAACGCACAAAGACAGGTCAGACAAAGGTGCAGAACGGCATGCGGATGGATATTTAATCTCTGCGAGTGATCCAAGTCCATTTCAGGAGGAACGGAGTTTGCTGTGGCCACAGCAAAGTTAGACTGAACACTGTTTTATTTTTATTTTTTTTATTTTTTTATAGCTTTTAGTGTTAAGATAGAAGACTGCTCTGACGTCTCAATACAGGATGAGAAAACAGGTAGTAAAAAGATGACGTATCGTTTCAACACTCTGTCTCTGAAAGTATATGAAAATGTCCTGGCATGCCTGCAGGTTTTATTGAAGACAAGAAACCAGATACTTGGCATGAACTAAGCCAGCATGCAGCCTTCAATTTGTCAAATTTACTCCCCTTTCATTTCCTAAGGAAGTCGGTTCTTCTTGGAGATCACAGCCTAAGAGAATTTAGATAAATGCACGCTTTTCCCATCCCTCCTTTCGAGTTTTAACTTTGACTTTACAGTTTCATTGAGAAAGACCAGCCTATCGTTGTCAGATTTAGACAACAAAAGAACTAAAACATGTTAAATGTGTTGCTCTCTGACCTGCGTTTGACTTGACGGCTGATTATTTATCCGCCCCTAAACTGCTGCGACTCTCGGTAAGATAAAAATCCAAGCTCTAACATTATCCGTCATTACATTTCCAAAGGAAACAAGAAAAAAAACAAAAAAAAACAGACACAGGCAGTTAATCAAAGAAACACATGACTGTATACCAGAGGTCAGTGACATAACAGCTATTTTTGAACTAGATAAAAACCAATTTCAAAACACAATTGTTTTTACAGGAAACATGAGAAAGTCGGCTTACTTTCACAAGAACTTGGCCTGGCGAAATGCCTTGGATGACAGCGGCGTTAGGCTGGTGAGCTTCCAGGCCACTCGGCTTCTCTGACGTGGAGACATCCGATGCTGACTGAGAGCAGCCTGGTGGGGAGAGCTGAGGAAAAGCAGAGGCAGAGATCAGGAATTAGATGAGCTGCAACATCTGCTAACTATCCAGAATAACCAAACCAAGCCTGATGAACACTCCAAAAACAAAAACATGCGCCACTTGTCCAAATAGTAGTTAAAGTCTGATTAAAGTTGCATTTTCTTTTTCTCATCTGCAGTTTTTTTTTTTGAAAGTATTTATATCCCTTTAACATTTTTACATTTCAGATGAACTAATAAATTTTTCTTGCATTTTGTGTTTTTGCAGAGTACTTCATCTTTTGTGAAATTTATGTGATAGACATTTACAAAGTAGGACATCATTGTGAAGTGGAAGGTTAAAAATGAATTAAAAATCTTAAAGCGTGACATGTAAATAGATTCAGTCCCCTAGTCATCACGTTTTTTTTTTTAAAAACAACCTTTTACTGGAGTTTCAGAAGCAGATGCTTCCTGTTCCCGTTGAAGAAAAGCATCCCCACGTCACAGTGCCTGACACCTTCTATTGTTTTACCACACAATGTTAGTTTTACATCACAAATTGTGCATGCAGGCTAAAGTTCACATTTTTCTCCTCTGATTAGATTCTTACGTGTTATGTTGGGGGCAAATATTAAATTCTAAAAAAAAAAAATACACTGGTGTTTGTTGAGAAAATGTAAAAAAAAAAAAAGAAAAAAATCCAGAGTCAGCTTGGAAACACTTTCGCCACTGCTTTGTTGAAAGAGTTGTAAATTATGATGATTTGTCCACTAGTTGTGACATGGCAACAATTTGTTTGATCACAGAGTTGAGGATATTTCTGTACCTGTGGGGGAGGGCTGAAGTCAGAGGAAGCATAAGAGACCTCGGTTTCCCTCGACTCCCGAGGGGAGGGTAAAGTTTGGGAAGGAGATGGTTGGCTGTTGGCCTGCTGTGGTGATAAAGCATCACTGCTGTCCTCATCAAAGCTGTAAACATCTGGAACATGTGGTGTGTCTGAGTAATCCGCCTCACAATCTGTATGATCACCAGAGAGGGTTTAAGAAATAAAGCCACTTAAGGACACAGTTGTAGCATCGCAGCATTTATATAGACAGTTGGATAAATATGGAGCTTTTTCTTTAAGCTTGGACCACAGAGGTGGATGAAAGTCTGTCTGATAACGATCCCCACTTAAGTTTACGTTTTGGTCGTCGCTGTGTGAGTAATCCTAATGAACGCTTACTGTTTATGACTTCTTCGACTCCAGAGTCGACAGGCAGGATCTTTTTCTCCACCAGCTCCATGGGTCCAGGTCGCTGGGCGATTTTCTCGTTGAGGTCGTTGGCCAGTCTGGCCCTCTTCAGTCTCAACTGCGTCGCCTGCAGGGAGGGCTCCGCCTGTGTTTCTGAGGAACAAAAAGAGGATGTTCACCTACGATCCGGCCGTCGTCACTCAGTCTGATTTGTCACTGTGACTCAGCTGGACCTCTCGCACGCTCAGTCTGCAGCAAAAACATTCGGATGATCGCAGGATTGTTGAACAAGCGGTAATAAATGCAGACAGATGAATAACGGCCCTACTCATTCTGCTAATCCAAACACCATCGCCCAGAAACAACACGGAAAGGGGTTACCTTCTAGGATGTGCATACGGACCAATTCGGAGCGATCCGGTCTGCTGCTCAATTTATGCTTTAGAAAAGTCCCAGTCTGGTAAAAAAAAAGAGGAAAAAATGTGTCTATATAAGTAATTTTTGAACATCATTAAAGTCACAGATGAACAAATTTATGCGGTGGAGTTAAAAACACATTAGAGACTCACCCTGGCTCGCTGTAGGCTGTGAATCTGTTTGTGGAAGGCAACTGGGCTTTTCAGAGCTGGAAAAATAAGAATACATGAAACTATTTACGTGCTTACGTGATTGTAACTGAAAAGGCATTTGCTTTGCTAGTTAGCAAGCCCCAAAGGGGTTGCACATGCTCCTTTTGGGAGAAAACGGACTTCTCTGGAAGGACGTTTTGTTGTTTTTAGGGTTTAAAGTTACTCTGACTGAGAGCAGAAACTCAGTTTTTTCAGGGGGGTTTTTTTTAACGCAGATGATAAAGTTCATGATAAAATTTGCTGATTTTAAAGAGCTGTTTCATAATCCCTTTCCTGGCATCTTGACAGTTATGTTTTTTGTCTTTTCTGCTCTTTGCAAACGTGGCCTCAATAAGGAAGAGCTTATGGGAGTAAAACAGGAAGCACCAGCTTTACTGACTCAAACAAAGAGATTACTCTGAGCAGGGAGTTTTACTCTTTGATCGCTCAGAATAAACTCATCCTCCTTCAGAGGAGGACTGTGTCACTGACCAGTCACCTCTGATATGACCGCCATTGTTTGCTTTAATGATACACGGATCAGGGACGCTCCAAGGAGTGTGTCACACACACACGCACGCACGCACGCACGCACGCACGCACGTTCCTGCTTATTGCTCTGATTTCCATTCTTCATAAGAGGTTATGGAGAACCTTTTTAAATGTAGAGCATTTGATTGCATTTCATTATTAAAGTGTTTTAAAGTGCAAAAAAATAAAAAATAAAATAAATCAGTCTTAATTAAATCAACCAACCCTACTCGGAGTTGAAACTGGATATTTACATAAACTGTAAACAAACTCTCCCACCATATTTTTTGCGGCTTTGAATTGTCTGAGTTCTCATGGTGAGGGCATTTTGAGAGGCCTTGACAGACATAGCTATCCATCCATCCATTATCACACACGCTTGGGGGCTGGTGCCAGGAAAATGACCCCTGCAGGAGGTCCATTTTCTAATTGATATGGGTTTGTTGTGTCAGAGAGGAGCAGGTGAAGGTCCTCCAAACAGAGCAGGACATTAAGAAGATGAGACGTCCATAATTCTGCCTTAATGCTCCAAATATCAGGTGCTTCACTGTCTCAGCATCTGCCATACGAACAGATCCTGTTAAAGAATAATCTGTCCTTTCGGGGCCAGATATCAGTAAGTCTTATGAGTACAATGATAACTTGTCACATTTCATAGGGGATATGCAAATACGTGCTGTTAAGTCACTCAGATTTGCTTTTCTATTACAAGTTTTCGGTTAGAAAAGAGTGTAATGTGCAAATGACTGAGTGTTGCCTCATTTAACAAGTTTCCGTTCTGCAGGCTAAGATAAGATCATTTTTGGGACTTCTTGGAAATAAATAGCAAGCACTGCCATATCAAAATCTGGAATAGCTTTTTAAATTTTGGATACTTTTTTGTTCTTTTGTTAATGCCGTGCAATAAGACTAACTCACCAGGAGCAGATAAGGGGTAGCGTTATAAAAACTACTCACGCGGCATGATGCCTTGCTCCACTAGCTGCTCCCGAGTTCTCCTCTGCTGCAGACAGTGCTGAAGGACTGCAGAAGAATGCAAAGGTTAAACATTTACCGTTCAGAAACAACTCATCTGACTCATCTCACAACCATCTGTGAAACCTGGAGGACTTTAAATAAAGCAGAAATGGTTATTATTTCTCAATCACTTTGCTTCCCTGGAAGCCAAACACCAAACTAAGCTCATAACCACAGATATTCTGTTCAGTTCCTGTATGGTCTGAGTTACGGGGGGTATCACCGTTAGCTTGGAGCTCTCCTAAAGAAAGCCAGTGTTTGAGTGAGTTCTGCAAATGTGACAAAGACGCAATTAAAAACAATTAAAACAGAGGAATAACATTCTGTTTTCCCCGTTTCCCTGATTCGAGATTTGAGAAGAAGTCTGGTTTGTTGAGCGATGTTCCTGAGTCTTACATGAAGTTTCTGGATGCATCTTCTGTGTTGTACAAAAAAATGTAAACAGTAGTAGTTTAAACATTTACAAACAAGAAAGCGTGGACTTGTTTTTCCAGTGAAGCAACACACAAGAACGGAAAAAAGAAAAAAAAAAAAAAGTTTGCCGAGAAGGCTAGGGGGTGACGGTGATGCATGAGGCCGTGGCCCTTATCGTCATCGCTGTAGTGAAGCGAACCCAGCTTAGCCGGATTTGCTCAGTGGCCTGGGAGAAACAGTTCGCCCTCACACACAAACACACACAACGCGGACCGACTCAACTCCCCTGGGAAAGACGCCGGGTCCGAACAGGACTCTGTGACTCACTCAAGCAAAAATAAACGGGGCAGCTGTGAGAACAAGGCCTGGGAACCATGACATTTTTTGGGGGCAGTTGAGGGGGTGGGATCGCCGGTTTGCTGGAGAGTCGAGGGGGATGTTCGCCGACTTCGACTTCTGGGCAAGGGAGTGACGAGAGCTGAGGCAAAGGATGGAAGGCCGTGCCCACCTCTTCCAGCAGGACATCATCTCCAGAAGAGAGAACAAACTGTGCCTTCTCTGCCTGTTGTGTTTTCTATTACCAACCCAGGCCAATGGGGGAGGTGGGAGGTTTGAATCCAGGAGATTCAAACAGAAACAAAATCAGTTTCTCTCAATATTTGTGACTCAAAAGGAACGCCACAGGCAGTCCGTTTTATTACTGTACACAACTGCATATCAATAGCATGAAAAGCCGCCTGCAAGCGCCATGGGAGAGCACTGGCTTTAATTTGAGCATCACCACCAGGGTACGGCTCCTGCCCGGGGTCCTCCTCATTGTGTCATCTTGTGTTGAGCATGAACCCTGGCTAACCCTTCCATGATGCAAAACTGGCTCCTGTTCACCAGTAAAGCAAAAACAGAGGTTATAAAGAAACACAGAGAGGGGGGCTCTGCTGAAATCCCTGTCTGCTGATGTAATCTCTAATCTCAGATTCGTGTTGTTCTCAGCAAATCACTGCTGGAGTTCTCCCATCAGTCTCTTTTTAAATTGATCCCCTTCTTCTTTCTCTCCCTCTCCTCCCCCTTTTTTATGATGCTACACAAACAAACAAACAAACAAAAAATTGTCTGAAATGGTGGATTTTAGTTTATGAACAACTTGACACTCATTTATGACTCATTTTGTTGTTGTAAATACAACAGAATGGTATTATTTTAGCAAAGATTCTGGGATTTATAATCACAAATCCTTAATTAACAGCTACAAAAATGATTTTAAGGATTCTATTCCACTTCAGATGTTATTATGTTCAATAACCTGTGAAGAGATTAGTCCTAGGAGATCAGTATTTTTTAAACATATACTGTACATGTCCATTATGCTGGATAAAATAAGCTTAGGGCTTGAAATGTGTATGTGAAAAATGAATAATACTTTGTGTAAAGTAAAAAAAAGCACAAGTTTTAAAAGTACCAGTGACACATGATAAAGGAAAGTAATGAAACGTTGGAATACAAACAATTAATAATGTTCCAGTTATTATTAATCAAAGGTAATATCAAACAAATGGGGGTTTTAGCCCTGATTTAAAGGAACTCAGTGGTTCAGCATTTTTTCCCCCAGTCAAATTCAACACTTCATCATTTATATACGTTTTTTCATTAGTTGTTAATTCATTGTTAAAAATATTTAGCTGTGAGATTTTCATTTTTTTGACCTGGTTAGATCTAAGGCTCATTAGTCTTATTTTATTCTCCATAAATTATCATAACTATTCTTACCCTGCATTTTAGGTTTTAACATCACCTAGATGAAATAAGAATGTAGCTGTTTAGTTCTTGTTTTTATTCTTCTAAACTTATAAATACATAAATTAGTTCATAGTTCGATGTAATTTCAGTGGAAACTAAGTAAACATTCACGGCTGTGAGAAATCACAACAGGTTAGCTTAGTTTGTGACAATGCAGTCTGCAAAGAAAAGCTTCCTGTTGACATGATATGAAGACAAGATTGCTCCCACAGAAAGAGAAAATGTTGTATGATAACTAAATTAGAAAGTATAAATCTTCCTCATGTCTTTGTAGGAAAAAAAAAGATTCCTATTCAACGTGTCACAACAGTGAAATTCGTCTCAGCATGGGGGTTGAAAAGCTACTGATAATACTTCACAGGTGTTGAAATGGGATAAAAATGTTGAATAGATCAAATCAGCAACACGTCTGCTCTGTTTTGTTTAGCTGCTCCAGGCTGAATTTTAAGCAAGGTCAACAGCCAACAAGGAAGATTAGAAATATGCAAATGACGAGCAGAATCTTGATCTGCCGCATATCTGGGATTTGCGCTTCCTTTGTAAGTAGCACACAGTGTGAGTGTACTTGTGACATTTGTCTTTTCTGTGTCGGCACATCAACTTTAACACGGGCAATACCTGAAAATAACACCCCGCCTAACTACACTAGCAAGAACAACAACAAAGTCAAACTAAATGAATAAAATATAAGCACATGACATAAGGAAGAAAACGTACCTGATTTGAATTTCCCCCTGCAAATGGAGGGGCTCTCCACATCCAGGCAAGCCATGGAGGACAGTTCTGGTCTGATTGGTGGCCAGCTCTGGAGTCCCATGGAGCGATGAGACCAGAGCAGATCCAGCAGTAGTTACGGAGAAGGAGAGAAGACAACGCTCCGAGAGAGCAACATGTGGTTCGGTGACTCTCCTGTCTCTCTGCTGGCCTCAGCGGGGAAAGTTTGTGTCTGTCTGTGTAAGAGTGCGTGAGCGCGGAGTCGACGTGAGGAGGAGGGAACACAGGGCTGCGTGAGTTAACCCTTACTTGGTCAGGTTGGTCTATCCTCGCTGAGCGTCTACAGGAAAAGCAAAGCAACTTTTTTAATCATTAATGGGATGAGGTAGTGATTACTGTTTCAGGAAGTTCTCTTTGCAGGGGACAAAAACAGTTTATGGATAACTAACAGAAACTGGAACGTTTTTTGTTTTTTTTTAAGCCCTCAAAGAGAGACGAGAGAGATATCCGACTCTTGAAAATGTTTAGTGCAAGAAAACAAACCAAATGGATTTTTAAACAAAATCATACCAGTCTGTAGTTATCGTTACTCTAGCAACCGATTAAAATAAATACCTAAAATTCTAATTCAGTTTTGAATTGATAAGAGTTTCTACAAATATTTTAGTCTTTTAATCCGTGCATTTCTTTTCCACTGTGGTATAAATAACGACATTGCGGAAAGGTGAATTATTTTGAAGAACCAAAATTTATCTTGCCACAAGCACAGTTATAAACAGCAATAGCTATACTTACTCAAATATATCCAATGGTGTTTGTTGATTGGAAGAGGAATTAATTTAGACAAAAACATTTACAGCAAATGCAGTTTTATACTTAGGTTGTTGTTGAATAGAAAAGTTAAAAGTCTGCTCATCTGGAAATTTAACAATAGAACATAAAAGATTTCAAAAGAAAGACAAACTGATGAGCAAAAGAAATGACAAATCAACTAATTTCATGTTTCAACCTTGATAGATTCAATCCAAATCACTTTATGCTAATATTATATCATAAGACAAAATACTCTTCAGGTGGTTTGAGACAAACTCAACTGGATGACATATATACATATATATAAAGTGAATCTGCAGACACATATGATGCTCACAGTCCTCCATACTCCAGCTGCTTCAAGAGAAGTGCCTGAAGAAGTGCATGCTGGGAAGACCAGGCTGCTGTGTTTGGCATTAATAATTTTCTTTTGTAAATTGAGAAGTATGCATGTCAAACTGTGTGGGAAGTGGGGGAATATTGGAGTTGATGGAGGAAAAGCAGATTGGGACAGGCAAGATGTTGTGACAGCCCACCACTGGGACTTAATAATGGTGAACAGCGAGTCTGAAAAATATGGGAGAGCAGTGGGAGAGGGTTTGAACTGTGGAAAAACATCTCCAGTATTTCACTTATTACGAACAAGCCTCCTGAGCTCCATATTCATGAGTGGACAAGCCAAAGAAGCAAAACAAACCATCGGAATACTTTGTCACAAGGTCACAGTTCCTATCTTCTTTCTGTGCTCCAAAAGTCTTTACACTAGTCTGGAGCAGCAGAAAACATCTATCATCTAAAGAAATAATATTCTACGCAGGTCATAATTTCGATTGGATATATTGACTGAGGTGTTGATAATCAGTCAACACAATTATCCAAACTTGATTTTATGAGCAGGTGATGATCGGTCAAGTTCATCTTTTTGATAAATTACCCACAGCTCAAAATCTTTCAAACATACACATTTTCATGACTGACAGGTACTGTAATCTTAACTTAATGACTAAGATACTTATCTTATGCGCTTCCTATCAGCCACATATTTTCACTGACATATGGTTTCATAAATACTCATTTAAAGAAGATTGAGTTTCGGGGTTTCTGGCTGCCATCTTGAATTTGATTTACGATGCCGAGTTGTGCTGCGAAACTCTGCAACAAACTGTTTATCCGCTGGAGTGTTTGGATTTCACCGAGTGCCAAGTACAGCATCATATCTTTTAAAACTTTGTTTATGCACCAGCTTAGTTCATGAAAACACTCTTGGAACGATGCACCTTTACCCAAACTGGAATGTTTGGCTGATTTCACTTTCATCATCAAAACTTGATGTTGGTTGTTTTCTTTCCATCAAGGTTCAATGTATAACATGCAATCATTGTAACAGATGGAACCAATAAGCAAAGAATTCAAAAACAACTGTATTTTTAACCTACCAAGCAGGTTGAAGGTAGAACTGTAAAAAAAAAAAAAAAAAAAAAGAAGGAAAAACATTTTAACCATAATTATAAATTTGCAATGTGGTTATGTGAGAATATGAACTTTCCTTGAAACTTTCCTTTGTGGTGAAGCTCGTAGGGAGAGAGGCTAAGGTTATCCTGAGCTATCTCTACAGTCATGTAAAGGGTTGCACTGTTAAAGGATATACTGATATACTGGTTCTCTGCTACTTTCTACTACCACTCTCCAGTTACGCATTATACCGAAGTACTGCTGCCACTGACTTTACATTCTCCTCACTGGAGTTACGGCTGTGGCACACCGCTAGCTTGACCTTTGCTAACATTAAGCGAGAACATTAACCTGATGTTCTCGCTTACATTATTTTGCTTCGTCATATTGGGTTAAACGCTCTCTCCTAGCTAAATCAGTTAAAAGAGGTACATATGCCCCGTACTATATGTCCTCAGAGCTGTAAGCTTATATGTTTACATATCCTTTTGTTTGATGATTACATTTTTTTTATCAATCATATTTTGAAAGAACAATGATACATTTTAGTTTTCACCCAAAAATGAACATGAAATAAATGTTTTTTGTTTTTTTTTCTTGTAAGATGTTACACTAGATTATTGGAATTCAAACATTTTTCAAACAGACACACAAAACTACTTTGATTGATTTTGTATTTGCTGATGTTATCTGATCATCCAGTCAACTTCATTTTGGGCTCCCTGCATCTTTAGCTTGATGCGCTTCAGCGTCCTCCGTTTCCTTCATTTGTTGAGCATTTGAAGCATCACTTAGCTCCATGCTATCCAGATATTAAACATTGCTCACTTAAGAAAGGCTTCGACTTGTTAGGATACAACCAAACTCACCTAAAATCTTTTTATATAGTCGCCCCTGTTTCATGACCCAATGCATGTTTCTCTTAGTATTTTTATTAATCCAGGTTAATAACATTGTACACAGTAAAAGCCCTAAAATTGAGCAAAACTTGTTTATTACACTCTGAAAAAACAACATCTTTTCAAATGATATAAATAGCAAATTTCCATGGCATACTGACGAATAAAAAATGTGCATGAGAAAACTTTCGGCTGAGGTTATCTTTAGCGCTGATGTCAGAGAGCAGCCATGTAGTTCTGCTGCTGTAACAAAAATCAACTGCAGCACAATCACCATTGCGTGAGATCTGAACAACCTGATCTAGACTGCTTGAAAATAAACACTGTCTTAAACAGAAAAAAAAACATATTTTCTTGCTTTTTTGCTTTGAATACAGACTCAGTGAAGTAAACCTTGATGTGACAAAAATGTTAAATGCAATAAAGGACTTTGAAGGCTTTAGAAGAAAGGCTTTCGTCTTGTCATGGTCTGCAGATGGGCCCATAGTCAGATCAGGTGGAAATTAACAGCAGACTCATCTATCTGACCCAATTTTCAGCCCACATATCTTTTCCTACAAAACACAGCATGTCAGATTCTTTGCTGACTTGAAATAGCTTTCAAGACCAATCTCTTGAAGGCCAGGAAAAGACACACATTACAGGTAGCCAAGATGCCGCTATGCACAACTTCTTGCATAACACACAAACACACACATTAAAGTAGATGGTTCTCAAAGAGACACAGCTCATATTATACCTGATCATTGCAAACACAAGTTGAAACATTGGCATTGCTGACTGAAACCCCGAGCAGCAGCCTTTATATACACACACATAATGAACGATGTTTGAGGTTCCAAGGCACCCGCTTGCATCAAATTCCACGCAGGCCGGTGCAGATGGTGGGAAAGCCAGAGGGAAATCCCTGTAGGCTTCCAGTTTTCCTTTGAAGCTGTGCTACAAGCAGCAGCCACAAGGGGCTAAAAACAGCTGAGCTTTGGCCACATCAAGACTATACAAAAAAAAACAAAAAAACAAAAAAAAAACAGAGCATGTTGTACAGTATTCCCAAGGAGTTCAGACAGATGCTGCAGAGAGACTCTGTATTTGATTAAAGTTCACACTTTCCTCTCAAAGATTACAACAGTGACATGATCATCACTTAGATTCCATCCAAAGTTTGAGCAGAGGCGAGTATGGATGCTGCCAGCAAATTAGAGCAGGAAGGTTCTTGTCGACTGGGGCTTTTTGCTTGTTTTGCATGTTCTCTCTCTTTTTCTCTCTCTTTCTCAGTAATGATATTCCTTTTGGTGCTGGTTCATTCTTTTATTTATCTGCCTGTATTTTGTAAAAAAAGCACAGAGATCAGTGTTTCACTGGACTTCCAATCGGTCCAGTATGGGACGTTGGTGACACACAGCATGATTAAACAGCTACGACAGTTATGATCAAATCTGCCATTGGTGTAAATAAACTGAAGTAGAATATGGAAGCACTAGCTGCCATGTATATTTTCAGGATTCACATACCAACACAAAGTAGAGTACACCTTATGAATCGGAAGACAACAATATATCTGAATAGACGTCATTGAGTGACATGAAAGTTAATTTAAGAAGACAAATAAGTTTCTCCGTTGATTTAACAAAAAGAAAAGTACAGAGTTTTTCGAACTTAATTTTTAACAATAACGTCCCAGGCCTAGATAGAACAGGTTGTATTCACGCTGAGAATAATTTACACTGAGATGGAGATTATTTGTAGAAATAGGTCACTTTCAAAGGGTGGACTGGATTTTATTTAGGGAAATAATAATAAAGGAGGTTTAAAACATATGCTGTGCACCGTGTTTAGATTGTCTTTGTTGAAAAAAAAAAAGAAAAAACTTTCTTTTATTTTTCATCTAGTTCACATTTGTGTGTTACTTTGTGTTGTACGGTTACACAAAATCTGAATAAAAAGTTTGTGGTTGAAACCAAATATAAAAAAGTTCAAGAGGTTTGAACACTAACTGGAACACAGCTTAATATTAGTTGACTGGACTGGAACAGAACAATTTAAATCTGTTGAAAGAATTATGTGCAACACTGCAAATAATCAGGCTAACAATATTTAAGTGCCAGATATAAATAGTTCCTCCTTTATAAGAAAAGAAAAGCACACCACATTAACTCCACTCTTCACGGCAGGCATATATTCAGAGGCTAAAAATAGATGAATGTACAGCCATTAGCCAAAGTGGACTTTTAGATGAGGGTAAAAAAAAAAAAATGTCTGGGTCTTGGGTTTGAACAGTATCTCCATAATCTTAACATCATGAAAAAAAAAATGAAAAAAAAAAAGTCAACACAGCACCGAAGGGTGTGCTGCTTCGTCACACTTCCCCTCCAACATTCCCTGATTTCAACAACCGTGACTTTCCCATTAGTGCAATTATCCTTCTAGCGACTACGACTCAGAGTTGCTTCACATTACATAAACTCTCCTCTTGTTCTCTTCATTCAACCCAGTCAGAAGTGTGCTTGGCAGGGGATAAGTTGGGGGCCAAGCATAGATAAAAATAACTCGTTGTTTGCTCACCGGTATGCTGTAACTCGTGGTGTTGTTGTGGGAGCCAGACCGGGTCTCTGTGGTCTCTGTTGTCTCTGTGATTCCTTGAAATATGAGAGCAGCATGATGTGAAGACAAAAGCTTCCCCAAAAGCAGCCAGGATTGGATTACAGTTCATTCACAGGGCTGCAATGTCCTATGAATGAACTAGAGACACTTAAATAGCAATGAGCTGACAGAGGATCTGAGAGTTGCAGCATCTTTTAGAAATGACAACATTTAACACTGGTACGTGTATTTTCAAAGATATACAGATTCAGCTGAATTGAATCGGATTCAACTGTGACTTAAGAGACAATAAAGTGACAAGAGAGGTCATTTAAAATGGACTTGAAGACGTTTTATATCACTGAGTGATTAATACGTCAGCTGACCAAATAAACAGCCACAGCAAAACAATCCTCTGACAGTGGTCTGACACAGAAAGAAATTTACTTTTGGAATAAATGATGTCCAGTATGTCATATTATCAACACAATTTATTGACAAAATGAAAATTCAAGAGATTAAACTTTTCATTTCTCATAATTAAGCAAAAATAAATAAATAACTAAAATAATAATAATGGTTTAATTTCACATAATCTTTTTGAGTAGAATTAGATAAACAGAAACTTAAATTGGCTGTGATGACTAATTAAAAATTGTTAAAAAAAATTCTTAGATGGTTCAAGAAAACATTTTTTGAAAATGACCTTCTATTACATCTGACTTACAAAGAGGCAGGATGGCAAAATATGAATTCTTTCACATTTGAGTGAAGACATGGGGATATACTTTCTAAAACATTTTCAAAAAATTCCTTTAAGAAAACCAATTACACTTTACCTTTATTTTATCAGGGCAACAAAATGGAAAAAAAAAAGTTTTATAACCCTAAATTTACCCTCCAGTAAGAGTTAATATATATATATATATATATATTTTAAAAAGGTGAAGGTATCTCTCACTTATAAACTAGAAAAAAAAAATCTGGCTTTGATTTTAAATAACAATCTATCAAATTCCAAGTCACTTCATATTGTAACTTGCTGTGTTCGTGTCTGCAGTCATACTCCTTAGCATGTGTTTAAACACACTGGAGCACAAACCTTGGACTTTTCCCAAGATCTCTTTTTTTTGCCTATTTTTTTTTCTCCTGAACTCTCCATCAACACTACCAAATGGTATGCAAACCATTTTTTTTTCTACTAGATTTTGTCCCCAGAAAAAGATCAGGAACAATATTTGTTCATCGGAATAACAGGTAAGAATAACAGTGTAGCACCAGCTTCATCCTCAAGAGAGAGACTGACAGAAGAACAGCCCGTAAGAACATAGTCCAGACTACAGGGAGGCATTAGGCACTCTATAAATGCCAGAATCAGAACGTGTGCACCGCTGGTTTCAGACGTACAATGTCTGTCACACCCAGTACGCTGAAGGCAATGAAAAAGTAAAGTAAAAGATAAAGTTTTCCAAAGCAAAACACAGCAATCTTTTCTCGCTAGATTGTTCACATAAATATTACATGACACCTTAATGGATGGCATTTTTTTTCACCCTCAATTCATCTAATGCCATCTCCCTGGAACTCATTTACTTCCTGACTATTCTATGGGAAACCGTGAGGTTACCCTGATTACAGACATTTCCTTCCTCCACCGTTCAGAGCAATGCCTGGAATTACTGCACTATTTGCTCAGGCCTGGAGCAGTAAACTGTGGATCCCACACCCACATGGCACATGCATGCATCAGGGGTCACGCAGGTCGCGGGTTCCTGGGAGAGTTCTTCTTAATCCAGACAGAAATGAAAATATTATTCCACACGAGAGACATTATGTTGTTAGACAATCTGAGAAGGTTATTTGGTGGCATTTCACTGGGTTATGTTTGGCTAGAACCAGTGGTGAACTGAATTCAGTTTGCCAGTTTGGACACGAGTTGCTGGCCGCTGTCACCAAACGCCGGAGAACAGCTCTGGTAGCTTTAATTTCGCAGATACGTTCATACCCCTGAAACCTTTTTTCCTTATTTTTTCATGTTGGAAAAATAAACCTCAATGTGTTTTACTGGGCTTTTTATTGATACAGACCAACATAAATTATGGTGTAATTATGAGAGGAGAGAAAAGGATCCATTGTTTTAAATCTGAGAAAGTGTGGTCCATGTTTGTATTCAGGCCCCCTCAGCCAACACCTTGTATAATCAACTTTAAATGCAATTAAAAGCTAGAAATCGGTAGGTGTCTACATCTCATCTACAGACTGGAAATGTTTGTCCATTCTTCTTTCAAAAATAGCTCAAAGATTGTGAAAGTGGATGGAGAACATCTGTGTGTATCAATAGTCATGTTCGGCAGCAGATTATTATTTAGATTTACGTCTGTTTGTTGACTTTGCTTCATTCACCTTCCATGTCCCTCCTGAAAAAAAGCGTCTGCACAGCATGATGCTTCATCCACTATATTTGTGATGATGATGATGATGATGATGATGATGATGATGAGCGGTGTTAGTTTTCAACACCAGGTTTTTTTTTTTTTTTAACAGATTTCTTGAACTAATAGTTGCCATGCCAGCAGATTCTCCTCCTGAGCTGTGGATCTCTGTTCACAAATGTAATCTTTCCAGATATTTATTTTGTTTTCCATTTCATTCTGCTTTGCGTTGTACCATCGCGTACGATCCCACGTCAAAACACATTAAAGTTGCAATGCGAGAACAAATAAATTCATGATTACGGTACTTTTCCAACACACTGCCTCATCTAATCTATAATTGACGGAGGAGGAATTTATGCGCCACTGTAAAAATCTCTGGTGTCAAACAAGCAACACTGTTTAAATAGCGATTGCGTCTGGACTTCTGCGTTATAACAACAAGCACCAGAAGAGGGCACTAAAGGCTCGTGTTTTAGTACTTTGTGCATGAAATGCAACCACTGCAAGAAAAACAAGAAGCCTCTTTTGTGCACTTATTTCTGCATGCAGTGTTGTAAAGCAAATTATTTAGAGACTGCACACAATGAGCCACCTCTGTCAAAAAACACCTATAATAAATATAATTCCTCAAACTCAAAGCAAGTACATTTGCTACAGTAAACAAAACAGATCTGCTCAGCAAAGGAAAGTGACATTTATTAATTTTCCTGTAAAATAAATTAATGTTCCAATTAGATGAGAAATATATACATATATTTTTTAATCTAAATGATCAAACTGTCTTGCCATGACAGCACTTGCGAAAGGAGTGCATACCACAAATCCCAGATACCAGAATCACACTGCCATCTAGAGAGATGATGCTGCCATAGACGCATTTAGCAATGTTGCAGCTCTGCAGATGACTTCTTTTTCTATCCAATCAGTGTCAGGCTGGATAAGGGGGAAGGTAGCTATTATTGTTGACCTTTTTTTGTACTAAGGAGGCATAAGTGTCCCTCACACATGTACATAATGACTCCAGAAAGCCTGCAGCAAGAAATGATATTTCTGAGAGGCTATATACGGAGTGAAACCATAGAAAAGCTGCAGAAAATGTGACTAATTTGCAAGAAAATGAGTAGAAAAGGCATTTTTATTTTTTATTCCATCCAAAAAATGGGGTAGAATCATTTATTTCACCTGATGCATAGGAAAAGACAAACCAGAAAATGCTTTCTCATTTCATTTTTTGAAGGGTCAACTGAATTATTGTTCCTACAACAAAAAGTGTCATAATGAAGCTGTTTATCTAAAGAAAAAAGCCTCTGAAGAGTTTATCTGCCTCTAGAAATGCTCAAACTTTCTTCCATAAAAACAGATATCGCAAGCAAAAGGATATTACGGAAAAATAAACTAAAAACAAAAAACAAAAAACAAGCCAATAAAAGAACCTCTTCAAAAACGGAGTCAACACAAGAGCCAGAAATCTGAACGCATGCAAACGGAAGCGCTAAAATGTTTATGAGCAATAGCTTACTACTTGGCTCTGCTGAATCCAGTAGGTTAAAATTAAACCTGAAGTGTTGCTTCTACACCACACAGTGATAATTCTGACATCTTTGAAGTCCATATGCCCTCCATCAGCTCTGCCCCAAATATAGAGCCGTCTAAAAAAGCTACAGGACCGTGATAATATTAGTCAGCGAGGGGAGGGGGTGTTGTCTGCTATGAAATGCCAAACAAAATTAAAATTACACTTTCTGAACACGATTAGGGTATGTTTTTTTTTTTTTTTAAATAAAAAAACACACTTGTCCTAATTGTACTCACATCTAAATGCCACAAAGATGCATCGCCCTTGGAGACAAGTTAGCGCTCTTTAATTTTATGTTTGAATGTTATGATACCGCTTGAAAATATCCATAAAAAAATGGCGGTATGACTCAAAGCAACTTATGAAACCAGCTGAGCATTGTGTTTTTGCTTTAGTAGGACTAGGACAATTAGCACAAGAAAACAGCAGAGTTTATTTTCCCACCACAACACTTTAAAAATAAAAAAAATCTAATTTCAACAAAATCCATCAAGTATATTTGCTCTTGCACTTCGGGGCTGTGGTTGCAAGGGCAGCGGTTGAAAGCAGAGCCTTGCGGACGTCCTCACACTTTTCGAGGGTACACAAACAAGCCGAGAGACACATTCTCTCCAGTGCGTCCATCACGTTGTTTTTGAGAAGTCCTTCAAGCAGAGAAGCAAATAAACTCTGAATATACAGTATCTTCTAACAGAGGAAAAAAACTCTCTGAATTCTGCTGCTCAGTTAAATATGTCTCTTAGACATAATGGCAGACCTGAAGTTCAGTGATGTCTGGAAGTTTTGATGACAAATATGATTGTGATCAAGTTTCAGTCATGAATTTAGCTACAAATCAGCTCCAGTTTCAGCAACAAAGATTTATGAAAATAGGATTCATCAACCAAAAATACACCTTGAGACACAACAGTAAGTTTTTTTTATTTTGGCAATTAGGAGCAAAATTAATGCCTACTGTTGCCTACACTATTTAATTCAATTCAGAAATGCTTTAATGATTGCAAAGGAAAATTAAGTAATAATATCACTTTACTGCAATACAAGA